TAATATAAATCTTTTATCTATTCTTAACAAAAAAAATTCCTTCTCGACGGATGCAGCCGCCATAGATCCGCACCTGGTTGGGGCAGCCCCCTCTATCCGTCTCTGAAGGAGCAATATGTTGGGAGCGGAACGAGGTTATACGGCACGATATGAAGTATTGATCACATCCACAAGATTTATATAAAAATCAATTTAACTAATGTTACCTGTAGGAATGTGAAGGCCTAAACAATCACTGGTGAATGCTCTTTTAAATTTTTCTGAAGTTTTCCAGAAGTAAATATGCGTAGGTTTCGCTGCCACTTTTCCAGATAGATGGAAAGGTTTTGTTGCACGTATAACAACAGTAGGGATATGTTATTTCTGTTCGCGTGTTCTGTGGTTGCTTTCTTGTTGATAAAAGGGAACGTGAGGATAAAAAGGGAGAGAGAGGTGATACAAGATTGGGAATTAGAATATTATTGGGCACAAGGAATTACTAATCAAGAAATTGACGCAGCAACTGAAGTTGGAGCAAAGCGCATTTCACTTGGAAACAGAGAAGATACGAGAGCGTTCTTGGCTGAAATTTTGTATTTTGGAAGGCTATAGCACAGAAATTTGATGGAATTGAGAGAGTTGTTGCAAGAAAGAGAAGACAAAAAGACATAGATGTGTACCTTCCTGACAAGAAAAAATCCAAGAAACTTTGTCCATGTATCCACACATATTTCAGCATTAGTCACATCCTACATTTGAAGAAATCAGACAGGTATCGTCATCTTCTATGTCACTGTCTTGGTCCTACCCTCCCGCAGGCACCCTCAATAGTGGGCATTCATATGTTCATTATGGACACCATTATGATAAATTCATATGGTCGACACCAGATTTATTTTTACTGTTCGAGAGTAGTAATTATGGCTTAATAAGGATCACTAACAAAATTTTAATTGAACTCTATATTAAGCAAGAACTGGGAAAAAAAGGTAAAATATACGAAACTTGTTATACAATTTACACCACTTCAACCACCGTTCCATGCAAATTAGGAAAGTTTTCTGTCAAATCTACAGTAAGCATTGAGGCCCTTGGCCGGGCGGCTAGGCCGGAATAACCAGTCGACAACGGAGGCGTAGATGTCAACCGCTCACAAATTCTCAGATACTTGGCTTCCATATATCGGTGTTTCCGCCATGGCGCCAAGTGCATTTTCTTCTCCTTCATACATTTTTTGCCGGCTGAGCACAAAATCTTCAACAAGGCTAGTAGTCTTTCGATTTTTCCAACAAAAATTTCAGGTAGTTTTCGAATTAGCTCGTTGTATTCTTCGTTTGCTCTTGCCATTTCAAATTCTGCTCGAAAATTCAATTCGATTATAACCCTAATTTCCCCTTTTTTGGAGCTGGATTTGTCTCTTACATCCAAAAAGGTGTGTTCACCTGCAATATTAATCCACAACAAAATATCACACTCCAGACACGCTACATTTCTTCGCTGAGCCAAAAAAAAAAGGTATAAGATTGTTACATGTTTTCGTCAAAAAATTATACCTGACGGAATATCTTGGGAACTTCTCCACTTGGATTTGCAAATTGCACTGTCAAAACCAGCACTTTGAAGGCGGCGGCACACCTCTTTCATCAAACAATTCCGGCAGCCATTATTGAATTGTCTTCCGCAGCCGCAAAAACTTCCTGTTTGTTGTGCTTCTTTTACTGTCTCCTTAGTAATACTACGAATACTTGACTCTATTGAACTTGTCCTGCATAGTGTAGCCTGTACAAAATAACAAAACATAAATATTACCAAAAACAAATTGTTCTAGAAATGCCCATCTTTCATTTGCTTTGGAACCGAATCCTTAGGTTGAGTCGGGATCTAAGATCAGACTTTAAACTTCTTAATTTGTATCAATGAAGAAAAGGAAAGATATGAACTTACTTGTAAAAGCTGGTTTTGAGTCTCCCAGAAGCTATTATCTTCTGCATTCCCATTCCCATTTCCATTTTTCTCCTCCTCTTCACCGTCGTCTTCATTTTCGCCGTCGAAACTCACCGGCGATAACCCTTCACACTCCTCATTCAGAAACTCAAAAACTGTGTCTGATAAATTTATGGCTGCAGGGTCGCCGGAAAACTCGATTTCCTGACTTTCACACGTCAGAATGCGGTGATTGATAGGAATTCTAGCCATTACTCCGGTCATAGCCTATAACCTTACCGAGTTTTAGTAAGACAGCTTGATTGAGCTGTTTAAAAATATTTTCTTCCGAGTTTCAACAATCCGAGGAACAGGCTTTATATATCCTGGCGTTGAATGTATGGGTCCCGTTAGTCCTACGTGGACATACCAGCATTGATCCACATGGTGAAAATTACATTAGGTTACCCAACTTTGAGCCAACTTTTATTTTAGTACTTCACTTTTTTTATCGAAGCTTCATCGAATTTTAAATCTAGTAACTTTACTTTTTTTTTCCCCTAACTCATATTGAATTTTATTTCATTTGCACTTATAAGAGTTCAATTAAAAATAAATAAAAAATTAAGCATTTCCCAACCGAATAATTGGTTCAACAAGATGTAAATTGGTCATTTTAAGACGGAATTCATGACAATGAAACGCTAGTACGACCAAAATTATGTAAAAACAAAGTTTTACAAGTTGAAATAAGTAATTATTGTACAGTGAAAAATGTTCATACCATCTACGTTAGAAATTATTTTGCTACATAGTAAATAATGTTAATTTTTTTAATGCTACTTTGTTGCGTGACTAAAGTGCTACTTTGTTAAAAGTCCTGGGACCTCTAGTGTTTTCTAGCTTCAACGTGGCACTTGATGATTGGGTGACTCCAATCGGGTGGTCCAAATGGGTGTACCAGGCAGCAAGGATCCACGTCAGTACGAGTCAATAATTCTATCTGGATATACTCGAATATTCTAAAATTAATATTAAATGTCATTATTTGTTGCTATCCTATCCTAATCCTGTGGAGTGGGCCATACCAATCAAAAAGAACGTGGCGGAATCGTGGTCGTTGATTACTTAGGTTTATCCGATGACGTGGGACCGCCGTGTCTGCCACCTAACAGCACTTTGATGTATTCATGTGATCATACGCGGCGTCTTGCCCACGGATTTGTTGTTGAATAAGTTCCCGAATTTGCCCATGAGATTGTGAAATATCAAGAACGTAAGAAGGGGTATTATAGTAATTGCATTTAAGCAATTATTCTCCCTCTGTTGGATAGATAAGGCAAAACGTGGGGAAGATGTAGACTGGGGTAGGTTTCAATTGTTTGTTTCAATTCTCATCATTAGGTTAAGACTATACTACTTAGTTAATTTGTTACTAATTGCACATCATAAGTAGGACTTTACTACTTGTACTTCACAATGTATATCGAGGTGTACGCCCTCTCACATGGGGGTGTGACGCACTTAAATAAAAAATATTTTATGCAGTGGGTTCCACCCCCCATGTAAGGGAGGTGTAGCTCCTTATATACAAAAGTTAATGTACAAGTAAAATTTTTCTTATAATTTATGATATTTGTACCTTTTGGGGTACACTTTGATTTACCCGATCTCATCTCCTCTCTCACATGGGGGTCGAGTCTCACATCTAATAAATGCGTGGGACTCGATCCCCATGTGAGGGATGAGGTGAGGCCGGGTAAACGAACATGTACCCAAAAGGGTACATGTAGCAAGATTGTTCAGAGTTTATCGAGTTTGATCGTTTAGAAATAAGATGGAATGATATATGAGTAAAATTTGTCTCGATCTGTACTAATCACTTCAAATAAATTGTATTTGAGCGATACAATGCAGTCGTAACTTAAACTTATGCATTTTATTATTATTTATTTTTCAAAAAATTAATTAAAAGAATAGTTAGGTGATGTGGCCCACCTGGCAATTCTGAACATGATAGGATAACCTAGCTCGTAAAAGAAAAAAAATGCAATTCATAGAAGAAAAATGGGTATCGAATCATATAAAATCGATTAAGGTTACTTGGTATGTTTATGGTCTTATTTGATATTTCAATTTATTAAGCTCATTTTGTAGGTGAATTGATAAGCTAATGCATGGTTAGCTTGATTTATTAATTTATTAAAAAAGACAAATTCAAATATTTGTTTGGATTTAGAGCAACTCGTTTGCCCTGCAATTTTTTCACACGATATCGAGTCGATACAAATGATTGCATTGTGGCTTTAAAAAACAATTATTTTGAAAGGAAAGTTTTTGATGAGTTCAATAATGAAAAAGTCCCGTGATTTGTGCTAATTAGATTATTTTAGTACTAATCTAATAGATATGTCAACAATAGACATGTTTGTTTGGCTAAATTTTAATAAAAAAATAAATTGAATTTACCTTTGCACAAACTTTAATTTAGTGGTGTTTAAATAAGTTAACGTAAAAAATTTTTAACCTAGTACGAAGTTCATACTTAACTCGACACAATAACGTTGTCTTTAGTAGCCTATAACCAGGGGCGGACCCAGATAAAATTTTGAGTGGGGGCGAGATCAGGGACGGAGCCAGCTTGTTGAAGTAGGGAGGGTCCAAAGTTGAAGGGGTGGTGCTTATGGGGGTTCGAGGGCAGCGCCCCCGAAACATTTTTTGGGGAGTTGTTGAATAGTT